GTTATCCTTATTTGCAGATGACATGATATTGTACATAAAAAAAAGACTCCATTAAAAAACTAATTGACTTAATAAATGAATTTGGCAATGTAGCAGGATACAAAATTAACACCATGAAATCTATGGCATTTCTATATACCAACAGTGAACTTACAGAAACAGAGACTAAAAAAGCAATTCCATTTACCATCACACCAAAAAAATTAAGATATCTAGGAATAAACTTAACTAAGGAAGTAAAGGACCTATATGCGGAAAACTACACAACACTGAAAACAGAGATAGAGGAAGATGTAAACAGATGGAAGAACATACCATGTTCGTGGATTGGTAGAATCAACATCATCAAAATGTCCAAACTTCCTAAAGCAATCTATAGGTTCAATGCACTCCCCATTAAAATACCAATGGCATACTTCACAGACCTAGAAAGAACTTTCCAAAAATTCATCTGGAACAAAAAAAGACCCCGAATAGCCACAGCAATCCTGAGAAAGAAGAATAAAGTAGGAGAGATCTCAATACCAGATTTCAAGCTGTATTACAAAACCACTGTTCTCAAAACAGCCTGGTACTGACACAAGAACAGACAGATAAATCAATGGAATAGAATCGAGAACCCAGATATCAACCCAAACCACTATGCACAATTAATATTTGACAAAGGAGGCATGAATATACAATGGAGTAAAGACAGTCTTTTCAATAAATGGTGTTGGAAAAATTGGACAGATACATGCAAAAGAATGAAACTAGATCACCAACTTACACCATACACAAAAATAAACTGAAAATGGATACAGGACTTAAACGTAAGACGGGAAACCATAAAATACTAGAGGCATCCACAGGAAGCAAAATCTCAGACATATGCCAAAAGAAGTTCTTCACTGATACTGCCCCTAGGGCAATGGAAGCTAAAGAGAAAATAAACAAATGGGACTACATCAAAATAAAAAGCTTTTTTACAGCAAAAGAAACCATCAACAAAATAACAAGAAAGCGCCGAAGCCGGTTTGGCTCAGTGGTAGAGCGTCGGTCTGCGAACTGAAAGGTCCCAGGTTCGATTCCGGTCAAGGGCATGTACATTGGTTGCAGGCACATCCCCGGTAGGGGGTGTGCAAAAGGCAGCTGGTCGATGTTTCTCTCTCATCAACGTTTCTAGCTCTCTATCTCTCTCTCTTCCTCCTCTCTGTGAAATATCAATAAAATATTAAAAAATAATAATAACAAGAAAGCCCACTGTATGGGATAACATATTTGCAAATGTTATCACTGATAAAGGTTTAATCTCCAACATCTACAGACACCTTATACAACTAAATAAAAGGAAAATGAATGATCCAATTAAAAAATGGGCAATGGGCCTAAATAGAATATTTTCAAAACAAGACAGAAGGAAGGCCAAGAGGCACACGAAAACATGCTCAAAGTCACTAATTATCCGAGAGATGCAAATCAAAACAACAATGCGGTACCATCTCACACCTGTCAGAATAGGCAACATCAACAAATCAACAAACCACAAGTGTTGGCGAGGTTGCGGAGATAAAGGAACCCTCGGGCACTGCTGGTGGGAATGCAGACTGGTGCAACCACTGTGGAGAACAGTATGGAGTTTCCTCAAAAAACTGAAAATGGAACTCCCATTTGACCCAGTAATCCCACTTCTAGGATTATATCCCAAGAAACTAGAAACACCAATCAGAAAGGATATATGCACCCCTATGCTCATAGCAGCAAAATCTACAATAGCTAGGATTTGGAAACAGCCTAGGTGCCCGTCAGCAGATGATTGGATAAAAAACTATGGTACATCTACACAATGGAATACTATGCTGCCATAAAAAAGAAGGAATTCTCATCATTTGCAGCAACCTGGATGGAATTGGAGAACATCATGCTGAGTGAAATAAGCCAGTCAATGAAAGAGAAACACCATATGACCTCACTCATTTATGGATAATAAAGGACATTATAAACTGATGAACCAAAAGATATGGAGACAGTAAAGCAATAAACAGACTGTCAAATTACTGCGGGGAGAGGAAAGAGATCTGGGGGAGATAAGAGATCAACCGAAGGATTATATACATGCATATAAGTACAACCAATGGACACAAAACTCTGGGGAGGGTAGGTATGTATGGGGGGAAATGGTAAAATATTGATATGTACACAGATAATAATTTAATAAAATAAAATTTTAAAAAATAGACTCTCCTAGGCCATGGTATTTTGTGGAAGAGACACACTCAAGGGGCCAAAGTGCCACATGTGGCTAGTGAGCCCCAATTTGTGGACATGGTACTAGAGCAATAGTTCAGAAAATGGAAAAGAATAATGGTATCTATATTCATCTCTTTGGTGATCACGTTAGAAGTTACTGTAATGGGATGTATGAAGTATCTTATCCAAGGTTAATTGAAACCACATTGACTAAACAGTAAAATAATCTTCTCCTAGACACTGCAGAGCATGAAAGTCAATGAATGTAGCCAAGTTTGAAGAAAAGAGTCAAATAAGAAAAGGGGGACAAAGTTGGAGGAATCACAATACCAGATATCAAGCTGTATGACTCTTCTCAAAACTGCCTGGTCCTGGCACAACAACAGACATATAGACCAATGGAACAGAAGTGAGAACCCAGAAATTGATTCCAACCATTATGCTCAATTAATATTTGACAAAGGAGGCAAGAGCATCCAATGGAGTCTCTTCAATAAGTGGTGCTGGGAAATGTGGTCAGATACATGCAAACAAATGAAACTAGATCACCAACTTACACCATACACAAAAATAAACTCAAAATGGGGAAATGACTTAAGCATAAGACAGGAAACCATAACAATTTCAGAAGAACCCACAGGCAGCAAAACATCAGACATAACTTGTAGTAATGTCTTTTACTGATACAACACCTAGGGCAATAGAAATTAATGAGAAAATAAACAAATGGGACTACATCAAAATAAAAGGCTTCTGCACAGAAAAAGAAACCATCAGCAAAACAACTAAAAAGCCCACACATGGAAGAACATATTTGCCAATGTTATCACCAATAAGGGTTTAATCTCCAACATTTACAGGGAACTCATACAACTTAACAAAAGGAAGATACACAATCCAATCAAAATTGGGCAAAGAACCTAAATAGACACTTCTCAAAAGTGGGCATACAAGAAGGCCAAGAGGCATATGAAAAAAATGCTCAATGTCACTAATCATCCAAGAGATACAAATCAAAATGACAATGAATACCACCTCACACCTGTCAGAATGGCTAACATCAACAAATCAACAAACAACAAGTGCTGGCAAGGATATAGAGAAAAGTGAACCCTCATATATAACTGTTGGGAAAGCAGACTGGTACAGCCACTGTGGAAAACAGTATGGTGTTTCCTCAAAAAATTATAAATGGGATTTCCATTGTACCAATAAGCTCACTTCTATGAATATACCCCAAGTAATCAGAAACACCAATCAGAAAGGATATGTGCACCCCTATGTTCATAGCAGCACAATTTACAATGGCTAAGATTTGGAAACAGCCTAAGTGCCCTTCAACAGATGAGTGGATTAAAAAACAGTGGTACATCTACACAATAGAATACTACACTGCTGTTAAAAAAGAAAGAACTCTTGCCCTGGCTCAGTGGATAGAGCACTGGCCTGCAAACTTAAGAGTCCCAGATGAATTCAGGTCAAGGGCACATGCCTGGGCTGTGGGGTGCATTCCCAGTAGGGGGCATGCAAGAAGCAGCCAAACAGGCATTCTCTTTCATCATTTATGTTTCTATCTCTCTCCCTCTTCCTTCCTCTCTGAAATCAATAAAACTATTTTTTAAGAAAAAAAGAAAGAAAGAAAGAAAGAAAGAAAGAAAGAAAGAAAGAAAGAAAGAAAGAAAGAAAGAAAGAAAGAAAGGAAGGAAGGAAGAAGGAAGGAAGGAAGGAAGGAAGGAAGGAAGGAAGGAAGGAAGGAAGGAAGGAAGGGAGAGAGAGAGAGAGAGAGAGAAGAAAGAAAGAAAGAAAGAAAGAAAGAAAGAAGAAAGAAAGAAAAGAAAGAAAGAAAGAAAGAAAGAAAGAAAGAAGAAAGAAAGAAAGAAGAAAGACCTCTTATCATTTGCAACAGCATGGATGGACCTGGAGAGCAATATGCTAAGCGAGTTGGAGGAAGATAAATATCACATGATCTCAACCATTTGTGGAATATAATCAACTCCATAAACTGATGAAGAAAAATAGATCCAGATACTTAGAAGCATCAATCAGATCATCAAGCCTCTGAGGGAAGACAGAGGAGGGTGGGGGTCCGGACTATACTATACTGTTGCATCCCCATGCCTTGCTTATTGTCTATGCTTTAAAATGATTTCATGACCATTTGTTTAATGTCTTCTCTTCCTTGTTTTGAAATAAAAATGATGTAGCAATTCTCAGAAGTCAGCATTGATTTTTAGTACATGATAAATCTCAGGTAAATATTACTTCAGAATCCCTTTGTGATTTTATAACCTAAAGAAGCACGTAAATAGAAGCGCTTGTTGTCTATGCTTTAAAATGATTTTATGGCCTTTGTGTTCTCTCTCCCTCTCCCAACACGGCGGCCTCAGATCAGTGCAGTGCGTTTATCAGGAGAACCCAGCAATCCAGAGAGGTTGAAAGGTTTTGGTTATTGAGTGTTTCATTTTCTAAAGACTTCTCTCTCTCCTTCGTTCATTCCTTGTTCAATGCCCTGAGCCACAATGAAGAGTCTCTAGGTAACAGGAGAATTCAAGTGGACGATGCTAATAAAGCCCAGGATAGACAGGGGTTTTCGTTCTTTTGGCTGAAATAGAAATCAGGATTCTGACGAAGTAGATACAGACTGGAGGGCCCATCCTGCCACAGACAGCTTTGATGACTACCTACCTAGAAGAGGTGATGATACTTTGGAGACAAGTATTGAGATCAAGATGGTTATGATTCAGAAGGTACCATGATGGGTATCCGGGCAATTATCTTGAGCCGAGATATGGATGGATATAGTGGCCGGGATCACTATGGTGGGAGAGGCAGCAGAGACTATGATAGAGGCTATGGTTCCAGGATAGGCAGTGGCAGAAGAGCATTTGGTAGTGGCTACCGAATGGATGATGGCTACAGAGAAGGTGGGGGCCGCTATGAGGACAGATATGAGAGTCTTGATGATCAATCATGGAGCTCCAGAGGTGATTACCCTCCGGATGATTATAGGTGTGATGACAAAGGTCCCCCCCAAAGGCCCAAACTGAATCTAAAGCCTTTGAGCACTCCTAAGGAAGATGATTCCTCTGCTGGCACCTCCCAGTCCAGTCGAGCAGGCTCCAACTTTGGAGGGGCAAAACCTGTTGACACAGCTGTTGGACAAGGAGAAGTAGAGGAGTGGCTACAGAAGGAACAGGAGAAACTGCAGCATCAGCTGGATGAGCCACAACTAGAATGGCGGCCTCAAGAGAGACACCCAAGCTGGCGAAGTGAAGAAACTCAGGAACAGAACGGTCCAGGACAGGGAGTTATCACAGACCGGGACCTCAGCCACATCTGGCAGAAATGCACGAAGGAAAGAGAGAAGTCTCTAGAAAATATAACACTCAATAAGAAGGAAGACTGTCATTCTCCAACTTCTAAGCCTCCCAAGCTTGAACAGCCTCTAAAGGTAATGCCAGCCCCTCCACCAAAGGAGAATGCTTGGGTGAAGCCACGTTCTAACCCTCCTGCTCGATCTCAGAGCGCAGACACAGAGCAGGAATCCCCTACAAGTGGTGGGGGAAAGTGGTTCCAGCTCAGCCATCTGAGGAAGGACCAGCAAGAAAAGGATAAAATAAAGTGATGGAGTGAGTGTCCCTAAAGGCCAAAGAGGAAGCTCCAACCGTGGTCCAGGAGATGGAGGGAACAAAGATCTCTGGAAGGAGTCAGAGAGGAAAGATGGCAAAAAGGATCAAGACTCCCTATCTTCACCTGAGCCAAAGAAACTTGAAGAAAGTCCAGCCTCCTTCACTTCTGCAAGCAAGTATGCTGCTCTGTCTGTGGATGGTGAAGATGAAAACGAGGGAGATTACACCGACTAGACCTCCACATCCTGTTTCCTCCGAGTCTCTCTCTACCCTGGAACGTTCAAGAGCAAACCAAACCTCCAGGCAGACAAGACCAAATAAAACTCACATATCCAGGGAAAAAATAACTAAATAAAAATAAAATAAAATAAAATGATGTTATGACCATTTGTTTAATATCTTTTCTTCCTTGTTTAAAAAAAAGATGATGTAGCAGTTCCCAGAAGTCAGCATTGATTTTTAGTACCTTATAAATCTCAGGTAAATATTATTTCAGTATCTCCTTAGGAATTTATGACTTAAAGAAGGAAGTAAATAGAAAAATACCTCAACTTATGTTTACTATAAATGTTTATTCAGCCTAAGAAAGTAAAAGTTCTAGTGAACACATGCTATGAATATCTTAGTAGTTCTTTTTTTAAATTTATTTCTTAATTGATTTCAGAGAGGAAGGGAAGAGGAGAGAGAGACAGAAACATCAAAGATGAGAGAGAATCATTGATAGGCTTCCCCCTGCACACTCCCTATTGGGGTTCGAGCTGCAACCAGGCAAGTGCCCTTGGCCAGAATCAAACCTGGGACCCTTCAGTCTGCAGACTGATGCTCTATCCACTGAGCCAAACGAGTACTTCTTAATGTAAACTGTATTTAGCAGCTGTGCCAAACTTTATTGTAATGCCAAATCAAGAGGGATTGTTTTCAAACCACATTAAAAAATAATGTGTAAACACAAAGCTTTTGAACTAAATTATAAAATTATTGTGCAAGAGAAAAATTAGCAAAATACATAGGTAGAGCAGTTTGCAGAATTAAGAATTCTGTCAACTATGAAACTATGCTTACTCTCATTAGTGAAGATTAAGTTATAAATAATAACAGATATGATTGATTGATTCATTTTCTAGAGAAGTGACTAATATATTACGTGAGGGTTAGGGTAAACAAATAAAATGGGCCTGGCTGGCATGGCTCAGTGGTTGCATGTCACGGTTCGATTCCCAGTCAGGGCATATGCCCAGGTTGTGGATTCGATCCCAGTGTGGGGTGTGCAGGGGGCAGCCAATCTATGATTCTCTCTCATCATTGACGTTTCCATTCCTGTCTCCCACTCCCTTTCCCTCCAAAATCAATTAAAATATATTTTTAAAGAAATACAATGGATTCACCATAGTCAAGCTGCTACATTACAAACATAAAGAAAATGGGCTGAAACTGGTTTGGCTCAAATGTCTAGAGTTTGGCTCAAATGTCGAACTCAATCAGAGGAGGGGCCAAAATCTAAAATCCAGCCTAAATCGAGGGCCGAATGGTTTACTGAACAGTCATAAACTGTCATTGTGATGGAAACGCAGCGGAGTGCAGTGATGACAGCGCAGTGCGGGCCACATTGCAAGGCCTGGCGGGACGGATTTGGCCCGCAGGCCTTGTGTTTGACACATGTGGTCTAGAGCATTGGCCTGCGTACTGAAAGGTCCCAGGTTCAATTCCGGTCAATGGCATGAACCTTGATTCCAGTCCTACATTTATATGTAGATGTATAGCAAACCTCCAGACAACCATGTGATTAGCCCCTGAAGGATTAAGGAGAGAATATTGAAGTATCCAAACCAACTAACAACCAGTCTTCAAAGCACTGCTCTTTTAAGAATTACCATCTCAGACCAATTTGTTTTATCCTCACCCTAGGATATGTTTTCATTGATTTTAGAGAGAGAGGAGAAAGGATGCGGGGGAGAGGGGGAAAAAGGAGGGAAGAAGGAAGGTAGAAGAGACAGAGATGAACATGCATGTGAGAGAAAAGCATCGATAGGTTTGCTCCCATATACACCCTGACTGGGGATTGAACCTGCAGCCTAGGATGTGCCATGACCTGGAATCAAATCCGCAACATTTTGGTGTTCAGGAGGATGCTCCAAGTAACCGAACCTCCTGGCCAGGGCAGGTCTGATTCTTTTCAAGAATATTCCTTTTACTATAAAAACTCATCTCTTTTTCATCTTCAGAACACTCTGGCTATTGCCTAGTTATGTTTCTCATCTGCAAAACCCCTGATTCTTGAATAAACGTTTATCACTTCTTTCTAGGCAAAGCCTCCTGACTCTCTGAGTAGTTATTGGGTATTTTCATTTAAGGTGGTTGTGATAATTAGCACAGGCTTCTCAAGTGGAATTTTTGAAGAATCAATCAAAATTTAAGTGATCATATAGCTCACTTCATTTGAGGCAAAGAAAGTATGTAGAAAGCTAGGAGAAAATTGCCGAAGTTGGGGAAATTTGTAGTAAGGCTTAGAGGACTACTTACTGGATTGTAACTGAGGATGAGTAAAGAGAGAAATCAGAAAAAAAGGCAGACTTCATGTCTTGAACATCTGACTGGACATAATTTACCTCCAGTGAAGAGAGGGGAACAAAAACATTTGGTGACCAGATAAAGAATTGTTTCATACATTAATTTAAAATCGTGATCACATGCTACAAGTGCATTTTTTTAAAATGTGACCAGAAAAGAAGATGGCAGTGAAGGAGATGGAAGTTACACTCACCTCATTCCAGGTCCCAACTGGAATTATAATTAAACTATAGAACAATTAACCTCAATAACCGACCAAGACTAGTCTTATGGGCAAGGATTTACAGAAGAAGCCACATCGACCCTGGTAGGAAGTGGGGAGACTCTAATAGGGCTGGTCCTACAGTCACATGCAACAGGAAAATCTGGGTGGATATCTCAGCTGCAGAGTTCTCCTCTGAAAACATGGAATCTCAACCCCACACTGGGTTCTTCATTGCAGAGCACCTGAACTGCAAAGAGGCACCCAAATACCACATGGCTGTGAAAATCAGCAGGGATTCTATATGCCAGAAAGAGTCTGCTAGAAACTCAGGTGCCTCTTAAAGAGCCAGCACACAAAATCTCAGTCTCAGCCATTCACTCTAGGCTTCAGCACAGTCTTTCCAGGGTAGACAGGGTTGTGTGGCTCTGGGGAGAAAGCTGAAGGAACAGCCACCAGGGTCCCCATGCTGAGTCACTTTCCTGCACCACCCACAGACACCACTGAGCATTCCCCTTCAAGCTACATCAGAAAAAGAGCTGCACTAACCCCACACTCCCTGCAGAGCTCACACTCTGCTGAGGAGTCTGTTGCCTGGGCCTGCAAGGTAGACTTTCTAGAAGGGATCTTGAGGAAAAACTCACAGAGAGTCAGAGGTTGAGTTGGATGTCTCTAAGGCAAAGTCAATTTCTACTCCCTCACGCCACTCAACAGAGCAGCAGAGCCCTGCTTTCCATGGGCAGCAACATCCTGCCTCCTGCAGGCCAAAACGGTGGCCCCACAGGCCAGAGCAGCCATGGCCTACCCTGGAGAGCTAGAGCAGAGGGCCTGGGCCCCAACAGGCCAGAGCAGTGGAGCCCTGCCCCCTCAATGGAAGAACCACTAGCTCACTTCCAGCGACCTAAATCCCCTTAGCTGTCACTCTGCAACACTGTCAGCAGCTGCAGCCAGCCTGGTCCTTGGTGCAGAAAAATCTCCAGAATGTCCAGGCAGATTGAGGAAAACTGAGTTATTTGATTTTGGGGAGTTCTCATTTCTTTCTCAAGTGCCCAAAGAGCACTAGCATTTCTGTGCAGAGCCATCCCTTCTCATGTCCAAATCATGTCCTCTTTGGGCCTGATGAACTCTGCTGGCCTCCCCCTGACACCCTGAGAGCCTGCCCAACCATAAAGATGTGCACAGGGCGAGTGGTGGCTGGTCAGGGTGTACCATGAGATCATTGCTGAGTAGCCTCAGCACTGACTCTGGCACTGAGTCTAAATCTGGATCAATTTTATGAAAACTACTGCCCCATGTTGTGAATCACTGGGAACCTACCTCACAGAACTAGCATATCACCAGAGGCTCATTCAGCAACTGAAACTAACAGGCGGGTTGCAGGTGGAGGTGGTTCTTGGGAAGGCTTGGGTCTTTTTCTGACCTGCCCCCGGGCTAGGTGCAGGTGGAAACTGGCCTGGTACACAGGTAGGCCTCTCTGACACATACCCAGGCCCAGCAGAGGTAGCCGCAAAAACTGTGGATTGCCTTGTAGACCCAAATAGCTAACACAGAGCTAGTTAAAGGCAGTGCCTGATATTAACCTGCAGTGGAGTCCCTCCTAAATGGCCCCAGAGCCATTACAGCCAGTGGCAGGATTCAGACAACATCAGAGCATGCCCCAATTAGCTCCACAAGCAGCACACACAGCGAGAGGTCTCAGCAGACACCAGACCCCATAAGGTTAAATTAGCTTTGTGGGGGTCTAGCCCTGCACAGAAACTCCTAAAATGCAGTCAAAGTCTATCTTCATAGGCAGATGGGCAACACCCCAACAGGCCAATAGCAATAAACACTGAACTTCAAGCATGGCCTGTGCGGCTCAGTTGGCCGAGTGTTGCCCCATGCACCTGAAGGGGGCTAGTTTGATTCCCAATCATGCCCCTTGGTTAGGTTGTGGGCTCAATACCCTGTGGGGGTCTGCAGGAAACAGCTAGTCAATTGTTTTTTCTCTCTCTAAAAATTCAACTTTAAAAAAAACATATTTTTGAAGGCTCTACTAGCCCTGGCCAGTGTCTTTCAGTGGTTAGAGCATGGGTCCGTACACCTAAGGGTTGTTCGTGTGATTCCTATTCAAAGACACATACCTGGGTTGCAGGTTCACTCCTTGTCCCTGGTCCGGGTGCAGGAGGCTATCAGTCAATGGGTCTTTCACATTGATCTCTGTCTCTCAATCTCTGTCTCTCTCTCTCTCCCTCTCTCTTCTCTCTCAGCCCCTCCCTCCCTTCCACTCTCTTTCAAAAAGCAATGAAGCACCTAAGCTGCCGCTTCACACAACAATTTCAAAACAACTAAAATACAGAACGGACATCATCCAAAACCACAGGAAAGCTGTATGAGTGAGAAAATCTACAACTAGAAGGAAAGAGAAAAGCTCATGGATCAGAGGAGTCACAAAGCGCAGAGGTATGGAGATGCATACAGATAGAAAGGGCAGCCGAGTGCCTGGCTGGCGGGAGGGGAAAGGCAGCTCCCAGCTACACTCAACCCCAATCCCGGTCGAAACCCCGTGGACCCAGGCCCATACGGGTGGAGTCTGGATTGTAGAGAAAGGCACTCAGAGACTCAAAGACTGGGAGACTCGGGGGAGCCGGGAGCCGCAGCAGGCAGGGCTAAAGGTGTGCTAGTGAGTGCATGCAGAGAGGTCTGACTGTTGAGGTTGTTGCAGCCTCTCCACAGCAGGAGTCGGAAGCTCTTGACTGCACTGAATTCCAGTTCCGACTGCACTGAGCACTGAAACCCAGTTCCAGGTGAGCCCCTGGGGCACCCACGCTCTTACAAGGAGAATCTGGACTGTCAAGCGGAAATTCAGGGGATCCGTGGAAGGCTGAGGTCTCAGGCACAAGGGAAGGACTGACAGGAAGCCAAGACTGTCGGCTCAGCCCTGAGACTCCGTCCCATCCAAGCTGAGCTCAGAGGCTTTTGTAATTTTGCAAGTCTGATCCTATAAGACTGTCTCCAATATAGAAGGTATTCCAACATAGACACAGCTGATACTGACATCCAATGGGCCCCGAGGTCAATTCCTCCCAGTGACACCAACAACAATCAAAAGTTAACTACAACAAGGCTAAAAACGCAGTACACAAAGGGGAGCACCTAGAGTGTCTACCTCAGGTAGCTGAGGAGGCTGACCCACTGGGCCATATAGGACACCAAACACACAAAGCCATCCTACCAATTCAGAGAAGCTGCGAAAATGCCGAGAAAAGGAAATAGATCTCAAGCGAAAGAAATGGAGGAGAACAAAAGACAGAATATAGAGTTCAAAACCACAGTTATAAGGTTTTTCAAGAATTTCTTAAAAAAGGCTGATAAATTTAACGAGACCCTCGAGGATATGAAAAAGAACCAACTAGAAATTAAGCATACATTGACTGAAATAAAAATTATTATACAGAGACCCAACAGCAGACTAGAAGAACACAAGAATAAAGTCAAAGATTTGGAATACAAAGAGGCAAAGGACACTCCTCTGGTGAAGCAAGAAGAAAAGAGAATCCAGAAAGTTGAAGATAGTGTAAGAAGCTTCTGGGACTTCAAGTGTACCAACATCAGAATTATGGGGGTGCCAGAAGAAGAGAGAGTGAGATACTGAAAACCTATTTGAAGAAATAATGTCAGAAAACTTCCTCCACCAGATGAAAGAAATACTTACAAGCCCAGGAAGTGCACAGAACTCCAAACAAAATGAATCCAAAAAGGACTACACCAAGACACATCTTAATTAAAATGCCAAAGGCAAAAGACAAAGACAGAATCTTACAAGCAGCAAGAGAAAAACAGTCATCTATAAGGGAGCACCCATACAGCTGTCAGCTGATTTCTCAACAGAAACTATGCAGGCCACATGGGAGTTCCAAGAAATATTCAAAGTGATGAATAGCAAGAACCTACAACCAAGATTACTCTACCCAGTAAAGTTATCATTCAGATTTGAAGGTCAGCTAAAGAGCTTCACAGATAAGAAAAAGCTAAAGTAGTTCATCACCGCCAAACCACTATTTTATGAAATGCTGAAAGGTATTCTTTAAGAAGAGGAAGAAGAAGAAAAAAGATAAATATTATGATCAACAAATACATATATATCAACAAGTGAATCTAAAAATCAAGTGAATTAAAAATCTGAGGAACAGAATAAACTGGTGAATATAATAGAATCAGAGGCAAAGAAAGGGAGTGGATTGATAATTATCAGGGGAGACTGGTTTAAATCATACACCTATGGACCGCTTCCTTCTCCTCCTCCTCCTTCCTCCTCCTCCTCGCGTTAGTTCCGGTCGCCGAGAAGAGACCATCAGACCGCCGCAGTTGTCGCCACATCTGGAATTTCTGGCCCTTTTCTCTTCGCCTTAAATTCGGGTGTCTTTTATGAATAATCAAAAGCAGCAAAAGCCAACGCTATCAGCCCAGGGTTTTAAAACCAGAAAAAGAGATGAAAAAGAGAGGTTTGACCCTACTCAGTTTCAAGACTGTATTATTCAAGGCTTAAGTGAAACTGGTTCTGATTTGGAAGCAGTAGCAAAGTTTCTTGATGCTTCTGGAGCAAAACTTGATTACCGCCGATATGCAGAAACACTCTTTGACATTCTGGTGGCCGGGGGAATGCTGGCCCCAGGTGGTACACTGGCAGATGACATGATGCGTACAGATGTCTGTGTTTGCAGCACAAGAAGACCTAGAGACCATGCAAGCATTTGCTCAGGTTTTTAACAAGTTAATCAGGCACTACAAATACCTGGAGAAAGGTTTTGAAGATGAAGTGAAAAAGCTGCTGCTGTTCTTAAAGGGTTTTTCGGAGTCGGAGAGGAACAAGCTGGCTATGTTGACTGGTGTTCTTCTGGCTAATGGAACACTTAATGCATCCATTCTTAATAGCCTTTATAATGAGAATTTGGTTAAAGAAGGGGTTTCAGCAGCTTTTGCTGTAAAGCTCTTTAAATCATGGATAAATGAAAAAGACATCAATGCAGTAGCTTCAAGTCTTCGAAGAGTCAGCATGGATAGCAGACTGATGGAACTTTTTCCTGCCAACAAACAAAGCGTTGAACACTTCACAAAGTATTTCACTGAGGCAGGCTTAAAAGAGCTTTCAGAATATGTTCGGAATCAGCAAACCATAGGAGCTCGGAAAGAACTCCAGAAAGAGCTTCAAGAGCAGATGTCCCGTGGTGATCCATTTAAGGATATAATTTTGTATGTGAAGGAGGAGATGAAAAAAAACAACATCCCAGAACCGGTTGTCGTTGGATTAATCAGGTCCAGTGTAATGAGCACTGTGGAATGGAACAAAAAAGAGGAGCTTGTAGCAGAGCAAGCCATCAAGCACTTGAAGCAATACAGCCCTCTCCATGCTGCCTTTACTACTCAAGGTCAGTCTGAGCTGACTCTGTTACTGAAGATTCAGGAGTATTGCTATGATAACATTCATTTCATGAAAGCCTTCCAGAAAATAGTGGTGCTTTTTTACAAAGCTGAAGTCCTGAGTGAGGAACCCATTCTGAAGTGGTACAAAGATGCACATGTTGCAAAGGGGAAAAGTGTCTTCCTTGAACAAATGAAAAAGTTTGTGGAGTGGCTCAAAAATGCTGAAGAAGAATCTGAGTCTGAAGCTGAAGAAGGTGACTGAATTTTGAAACTACATCCTCAGTAAAGCAAACAGGAGTTGTAGATAAAATGTCATGTCTCATGTGTCCTGGTTCTTACATCTTCCTACCTCCCTATATCAAGCATGATATAAGGGCTTTCATGGCAAATTTTATTTTAACTGTTTCTATGGTTACTGGAAATGTTGGGTTTAGTTTCTAAAACCATGTTTTAAGTAGCTGCAGGAGCTGTAGATTTGAATCTAATGTTGCATTAGTCTTTTCAGTTACCTTCTACCTCCTGTATTTTCTACTGTAATGATGTAATTTAAGGCATTCTGCAATGAACAGTTCACTTTTTTCCTGGGTTTTCTATATAAACAGTTTTCAAGATATGATTTGGTTAAAAATAATTTGTTATAAAAATTCTGTTTGCAAATTAAACTGTAAAAGTATCCAAAAAATAAAAAATAAATAAATCATACACCTATGGATGAGGACAATGCAGGGGAAGAACTGGGTGGAAGGGAGCTAAGGGGGCGGGGGGGGGGAGGAGAAACAATTGTAATAATCTGAGCAAGAAAGATTTATTAAATTTGGAGAAAAAAGAAAATGGACATAGAAACCATCTTATATAATAAAGAGGTAATATGCAAATTGACTGTCACTCCAACACACAAGGTGGTCACCCTCATCTGGTCAAAGATGGCCACCCCCATGTGGACACAAGATGGCTGGCAGGGGAGGGCAGTTAGGGGTGACCAGGTAGGCTAGGAAGGGCAGTTAGGGGTGACCGTGCCAGAAGAGGATGGCAGTTCATGGCTACCAGGCCGGCAGGGGAGCAGTCACGTGTTCATCAGGCTGGCAGGGGAGTAGTTAGAGGATGATCAGGCTGGCAGGCAGAAGTGGTTAGGGGTAATCAGGCAGGTGAGTAGTTGGGAACCAGCAGTCCTGGATTGAAGAGGGAGGTCTCAGATTGGAGAGTGTGCAGGCTGGGCTGAGGGACACATACCCATGCATGAATTTCATGTACCAGAACTCCAGTCTATATATATAAGACCCTAAGAAAAATTTGACCAGTAGTTGTGATGCGCACTGACCACCAGGGGGCAGATGCTGAACCGCAGAAGCTGCCCCCTCATGGTTAGTGCATTCCCACAGCAGGAGCTCTGCTCTGCTGATCAATGAGCGCCAGATGCTGGGCTAAGGGCTGGCTGGCGAGCACAGCTGCGGCAGTGCCAGCCTCTCCCGCAGAAACTCCCCTGCACAGCCAACCCGCTTCCGGACCAGGACCAGGATCGGACCCGCAACAGAACTGACTGAACATGAGCCCATGGCTACTTCTCAGTTATGGGTGCACTGGTATCATTCTAGGACTGCCCGCATAGACCGCAGCAGAGTGCAGTGAGCCTCCTGAGCGGCAGAGGTAGGGGCAGCGGGGCCGGGCTGAGTGTGCGGGATGAGTGGGAGTGGTGCACAGCCTGCCCAGGCTCAGGCTCCTCCCTGGCCACCTGCTGCTTCAGGCACTACTGCACCCCTCAGGAGATGTCTGACTGCTGGTTTGGCTAGATGGCAGCAGGCCAGGCCGAGGGACCCAACTAGTAAAAAATAATCAGAAAGGGCCTGGCCTGATGTGGCTCAGCTGGCTGAGCCTTGTCCTGTGTATCAAAGGGTCTGTACTGTGCAAGTAAAGATTGACAAAGCGTCAGTGGTTTAGAATAATTTGTTGCAGGATTCATGTTATGATATGGAGCATAGTAATAACCTTCAAAAGATGTATTAAGGAGGTTTGGGAAAGCACTTAACTGCATGTAACTTAGTTTTAACTGGCCGTGCACAATGAATAAGCCCAGATTCCATTTCATTTCCTTTATTGAAACATAAAGGGAGAAAAGGTACAGAGACAAGAATGTTTCACTGAATTTTTTGTGTATTAAAAGTCAAGGCACCAATAGATTTTGAATGGGGAAGCTTAGTTCCACTTCTGATAGTCCACCTCAAAATACATACAAATTTTCACAGAAGACCCACTCAACAATTTAATGATAGAGAAGCACTAAATAAACTGACATGAACCCAAACAAACACTCACAGGAAGAAATGAGCAGTGCATGACAGCTTGCATAGAATTTTCTTTGCCCGTCAACAATCTGGAAAAGTCCCTTAGAACTTGGTCCTAACAAGCTCTGTTTTTCTCAAGAATTTAACTTGGCTCTTTTCTCACTGGAACCATGGAAGATGCAGAAAAGACAAAGAAGAAGGTTTCTGCGGTGCCATATACCATTAAAATAATAAAAGGAATTTCACAAGCTGAAGACCAAACACCTGACTTTTACCCAAAAGATGCTTCAAAAGGCAAGGAGGAAACTTGTCTATGAAAGCTAAACACTACTATGAGGATAATAGGAAAATGTACAGAACTGAGATTCAAATGACTAGGATGGTAAGAAAAGCTGGCAATTTCTTTGTGCCTACAAAACCCTAATTGACATTTGTCATCAGGATGGGTGGTATCAATAGTGGGGCCCTGTCCAGAGTACGCCAGTTGCTCAAGACAAATTAGAGCATGAAGGCCCTATTCAGAGTATGCCAAATGTTCAAGACCACTCTGATCATGGGAATCTTAATCATGGTGTTCAAGGCTAAGATGCTATACACAGGTGCAAGGACCTAGTAATTTATGCACTGTGCAAGTGTGCTCTTCCAAAACCCAACTGATTGATGTCACTCTTTGGAAAGAACCTCTTTTGTCTGAGTAGTATAAAGTTGTTACTGACCAGCCAGCGCAGCTGCTTAGAGAGGCTGTAACTCTAACGATTGCTCTTATATCGCTTCTATGATAGAAGCTACTATGTAAGAAAGATGTATTATTGCCTAGCCAGTGTGCAGCTACCTGCTGTATGGGACTTTACTTTGAAGAACTCTTTTCTCGGGTTGCTCCTTGTTAGCAATGGCTACTTGGCCACTGGCTCCTACAATAGTCTCTCATACACCTACAACTTCTCATGGCTTCTCCGTCTACCACCCAGCACCCCAGAAGATCCAGCCCCTGGCAGAGGGGCTCGGTCCAGCCAGTTGGCATAGTGGAGCAGGATGAAGGAACTGAGTTCCTGACAGAGCGTAAAGGTCCAAAAGGTGCTGCAGCTCCTTTGCCTTCACCAGATCTTCAATGGCACCTTTGTTAACCTCAACAAGTCTTTGTGGGGGAGGGGGGGTCTTTGTTTGTTTGCTTTTGTTTTTTTGTTTGTTTGTTGTTATTTAACAAACCATTGATTAACATGCTGAGGATGTGGAACCATATTGATGGGGTACCCAAACTTGAAGTCAGTAAATGAATTCATCTACAAGTGTGGTTATGGCAAACTCAACAAAACCCCAATTTCCTTGACAGATAACATATTAATTGCTCAATCTCTCAATAAATATAGCATCATCTGCCTGAAGGATCTATAATATCTACACTGTTGGAAAATGCTTCACAAAAGCAAATAAGCCGAAACCAGTTTGGCTCAGTGGATAGAGCGTCAGTCTGTGGACTGAAAGGTCCCAGGTTCGATTCCGGTCAGGGGCATGTATGTTGGTTGCGGGCACATCCCCGGTAGGGGGTGTGCAAGAGGCAGCTGGTCGATGTTTCTCTCTCATCGACGTTTCTGGCTCTCTATCTCTCTCCCTTCCTCTGTTAAAAATCAATAAAATATATTTTATTTTTTTAAATAAGTTTTTATTGTTCATATTATTACAAATGTTCCTTTTTTTTCCCCCACCATTGCTCTCCTCCACCAGGTTCCCACCCACCCTCTGCCCTTTCCCCACTCCCCATTGTCCTCATCCATAGGTGCACAGTTTATGTTCAGTCTCTTCCCACAACCCCCTCTCCCCTTTTCCCCAAGAATTATCAGTTCACTCCCCTTCCATACCTCTGATTCTATTATATTCAACAGTTACTATTGTTCATCAGATTTTTTTTTAATTTCCTTGGTTTTTAGATTCACTTGTTGATAGTCACGTATTTGTTGTTCATAATTTTTATCTTTGTTTACTTTCTCTTCTGAAAGAACCCCCTTCAGCAATTCATATAATTCTGGTTTGGCGGTGATGAACTCCTTTAGCTTTTTTTTACTAGTGAAGCTCTTTATCTGACCTTCAATTCTGAGTGATAGCTTTGCTGGATAGATTATCTTTGGCTGTAGGTTCTTACTATTCATCACCTTGAATATTTCTTGCCATTCCCATCTGGCCTGCATGGTTTCTGTTGAGAAGTCAGCTGACAATCGTATAGGTGCTCCTTTATAGGTAACTACCTTCTTTGCTCTTGCTTCTTTTAATACAGTGGTGCCTCACACAACGAACTTAATTCGTTCCAGGAGCAAGTTTGTTATGTGAAAAGTTCTTTATGTGAAACGCGTTTTCCCATAACAATACATGTTAAAAAAAATAATTCGTTCTGTAGCATAAAATATGCTAAGATGACATAAAAAAAGATAAATTTTTTGTTATTATTTTTATTTAGATAAATCTAAAAACATAATTTTTTTAAAAAAAAAACACATTTTTTTAATTTTAAGACAGACTAAGTAGAGTCTACTGAATCTTGCACATCTTCATCCATTTTCTGCTTTTTGGCCGATGGTTTCATGAAAAACCTATCCAAAGTCGTTTGTTTTTCTCTTTTCTCCAACATCTGCCGGAAATAACGGACAAGAGTATCGGAGTAAAGATCGTTGATCCTGTTTGCTTCAGCTGAATCCGGATAGTGGGCATTGGTAAACTCCTGAACTGCTTTCCATTTGACCAGGATGTTCTTGATGTCAGCAGTTGGGATTGGTTGATTGTTTGATTGTTGCTCCTCATTATCAGATGACGCTTCCCTTTGAGCATTGTCCTGTTTCATTTCAACAGAAATCACCTTCCTGCTTTTTTTAGAAGCCATGATATAAAAAAAATATTGAGTTTAACTTAAAAGGACGACTGCCGTGATACGTGCGTGATTTAATTCGTAATGAAGAACGATTGCCGCGATACGTGCTTAAGTTAAGCGCAGTGACTAACGACTGCCTGCAGTGCCTGCGCGGAAGGATGCAATACATCGGCAGCGATCGTGGAAGCTCGGGCGAAGCAGTCGTGGAAGCTCGGGCAAAGCGGTCGTGGAAGCTCGGGCGACTTTGTTGTGTGAAACGAAGTTCGTTGTATGAATCATGAAACGAAGTTCGTTGTGTGCAGTGTTCGCTGTGCGAGGCGTTCTTTATGCGAGGCACCACTGTATTCTCTCTTTGTCTTTTGCTCTTGGAATTTTAAGTATGATGTGTCTTGGTGTGGTCTTTTTTTGGATTCTTTTTGTTTGGAGTTCTGTGCGCTTCCTGGACTTGTAAATCTAATTCTTTCACCAGGTGGGGGAAGTTTTCTGTCACTATTTCTTTCAGTATGTTTTCGATATCTTGCTCTCTCTCATCTTCCG